TACTCAAAAGTTAAGTCAAAATAAATATATTTTCTGACAAATAAACCTTGAGAGAGTTAAGACTTTTTCCCACTTTTGTGTTTCAGTTCAGGCATTTTTTAAAAATGATCTTGTCTTTGAGTTACATATGTTGTCTCCCACATGCTCTTAAACTCTTCCAGTGACCTCCTAAGTTTAAAGTCTCTAGAGAATGTCACTAGAAGTTTTACTCAAGGAAATGTTTCAGGCTGAAGGAAAATAATCCCAGGTGGAAATATTAAACTTTAGGAAAGAACAGGGCACACAGTAAAGGATAAGTGTGTGTGTAAATATTAAAAGAATATTGACTTTTTAAAATAAAAGTAAGGAAAGATATGGAGAAACCTAACAATGTGGAAGTCAAGCTAATAATATCAGACAAAAAAACCTGGAGGGTCTCAATGAGATTAAACTGTGGTAAGGTTTTTTGCATTATTTGTGAAGTGTAAAAATACAAATTTAAAAAACCTATATTGAGAAGCTAGGAAGGCACATTAATTTCTAGTATAAGAGCTAATAATGTTAGAATGTATAACTAATAGAGGAGAAAAATTGAATGAATACAATATACTTAATCCAAAAAGCAAGTAGAGAGGGAGGAATAAAGGAACAAGGACCAGATGGGACAAACAGAAAAAAAAAAAAAATAGCAAGTAGGTAGAATTAAACCAACTGTCTCAGTCATTATATAAGTAAGCACACTAAGCACTCTGATCTAAAAAGAAAGATAAAGTGGATATTTTAAAAAACAGAAGACTTAATTTTAGGTTCTTTATAAGAAATACTTTATGAAGTTTAACATTCTTATCTGGGAAGTAATAAGCCAGGAGCTTTGGAGGTGAAGCACTCTGGGTTTGAATTTTACTGTCCAGTTATTAACAATTCAACCTGTAGTTAGTTACATATCTTCTCTGAGTTTTAATTTCTTTATATAAAAGAACAGTAATACGTACCTAATAGGGTTGATATGAGAATGAAATAAACTTAGGGAGGCACTCTTACATTTGGTTAATAGCCAGGGTGATAGAAACACATTATTTGGCTTCTAATTTCAGCTCTGTTAGTTACTAACCACACAACCTTGACTAGGGTGGTAAAATTCCCCATGCCTTGGTTTTACCATCTGTATACTGGACACCTCGCAGAATTATGAAAACAAAATGAGGTTCTCTGTTAAAACACTTAGTATATTGCCTGGAACATAATCAGTACTCTCTACATGGCAGCCAGAGTAACTATTAAAACATAAGCCAGGGCCGGGCGTGGTGGCTCATGCTTGTAGTCCCAGAACTTTTGGAGGCTGAAGCGGGCAGATTACCTGAGGTCAGGAGTTTGAGACCAGCCTGGCCAACATGGTAAAATCCTGTCTCTACTAAAAATGCAAAAATTAGTTGGCTGTGGTGGTGGGCACCTGTAATCCCGGCTACTCAGAAGGCTGAGGCAGGAGAATTGCTTGAACCTGGGAGGCAGAGGTTGCAGTGAGCTGAGATTGCACCATTGCACTCTAGCCTGGGTGACAAGAGTGATACTCCAACTCAAAAAAAAAAAAAAGTCAGATGATGTCAATCATTTGTTCAAAAGTTTCTAATGCCTTCCCATTACATTTAACAGGTAAGGCCAAAAATTACACCTCCCTACAAGGTCCTTCAAGCTCTATTGCCTCTTTGAACTCATGTCCTAGTTACCTCTCTGGACTCATGTAACTAGTCACCTCCTTGCTTACTCCACTTACTTTAGACCTACTGGCCTCCTTGCACTTCCTTCAGATTCATGGCAGGTCAGTCATGCTGTACTCTCAGGGTCATTGCCCTTGAAGAATTCATTCAGGTTCTTCCCTCTGTGACCACCCACACCCACCCCGCAGATCGACAGAGCTCGCTGCTTTCCCACTGCTGGGTCTCGCTCAAGTGTATATTATTCAGTGAGGGCATGCAAGACTATCCTAAGTGAAATTGTATCTCACTGCCCCACCAACTCCACTTCCCTATCTTACTTCCTCGGTTTATTTTTCTTCTTAGGAGAAATCACCATTTAACGTTCTTTTCCATAATTGTGTATGAGTTTACTGTACGCCTTCCTCCATTACAGCGTAAAGCCATATGGGCAGGGATTTTTGTCTCTGATCACTGTTATAACCCCTAACACTTTGACAACTAGCTGGTAGATAGTAGGTACTCACGAAATAGTTATTCAATGAAAGAATTTTAAAGTTAGTCACCATTATTAGTCACTTCTTTGATAATTTCTTTCTTTCTTCCTTAGTGACCACTGGAGATATTGAGCCATAATTGAACTCAAAACATAGCTCAGTCTAGTCATCACGTCTGCAAGGACCTCTCCCCTGGATTCACTGACAATGTCAATTCCTCCTGTTGTGCCCACTCACAGCACTGATCTCTGCTTTGTGATTCTTTGATTTAAGTCTTTCTTTTCCACTAGACCCATTATCAGTACAGACCTCATTTATTTTTGCTTGCCTCTGTATTCCCAAGATTTGTACAGTGTGCTTGGGCCATAAAATGAATGCAACAATGAATGAATGATCAAAATGGGCTCTCATTCTTTTTTTACCTGTAATAAAACTAACTTTGAACATTGTTTGTCCCCTTTGGCTGTGCTACGTTTAGTGTTTCTTTGTGGATGATAAGCTTTCCTTGACACTGCACTGTATGACTTAAGCTAAGCCGTGTACTGGGAGGTATTCTCAAGTGTTTCTCTTTGGTTTGTATTCAGAGTAAAAGTTAGAAGAGCAGTAGGTTGCTAGTTAGCAAAAATCCATTTACTACTGCTCATGTCTGTGAATGTATCCAGTTAATATTATGCATTAAAATTTCACAATAAGGATGACCCTGGAGATCAGACTAGTAAGAAAAAGAACAAAGTGAAGACAGAAGCACTCCTCTTTATAGGAATAGGAAGATTATGGCAGCTGTAGCATAGCCAAGGGAAAGGAATGGTGATTTATTGGAAGGCTGTCATACCGGACTCTATTCAAAGTACTTTGCATTTGTGATCCCATCTGAACTAAACCACAAATGTGGTTGAGGACAGACGACACTGGCAAATGTGGAAATGTGTGCATGTGCTTTGATGTGTGCATGTTCGTGGGTGTTTGAGAGTAGTGGGCTCTATCCCTGTCTCTGCTTTATATTAGCTGTGCAAGCGGGAGCAGGTCAACCGACGCTCCTGAGCTTCTGTTTCTACGTACCAGCTTGGTGATCAGATAAAATAATGGACATGAACATTCTTTGAAAATATTGAGAACAAGTGCATTTGTGGGTGCAATGTTACAAGGGTCAAAGCAACAACCTATTCCTTTGGATATCATAATAATTTTGCATGTCCCCAGGTGAACAGTTAGACTTGGGGTAAAGGCATATTGTATTATCTTATTATCCATTTACTTGCAGCAACTCAATCCAGAAAATAGATTAAACACCTGTAGTGTTCCAGACTCCATAAGGACATGGAGAATAAAATGAACTAAATATGATCCTGCCTCGTAGAGTTCACACTTGAGAGGAGGAAACATATGGGCATAAAAGTAACTATAACTCATGGCAGAGTATGCGGAGTGCTACCGGTGGCATTTTATAAACAAGACCCTAGGAAATCACACTCAATTATTTATTCAATCAATACTTGTTATACCCGAGTGAGTTTAAACGGAACCGCCACGCTCTGAGTTTGTTGAGAGTCCACTTTAATGACTGGCATCCAAGAGTCAGCTAGAGCTCAAACCTCTCCGCTGAGAACAAAGGGCGGTCAACATTTTTATATCAGGTTAGGGTCTGGGGCGGTAAGCAGATTATTACAGAGGCAGAAGGAGCAGGTTAGGGGAAGGGGGGTTGCCTAACCACAAAATTTTATTTAAAGTTGTTTTTCACTCAGGATGTGGGGTAGACAATTACACAGTTTCCAGCACAGAATATATGGGCCAGCGGGCCCTATTTCTCAGAAAATTAGTTACAAAGATGCCAGGTGTCTCAGACTACAAAGTTCTTGGAACAGAATGCCCTACATAGCTCAAGGTGGGTAAAATGGAGTCCGCAGGATTGTTTAAAGTGTATTCATCACAGCCAAGCTAATACCAACTATGGGCCAGGCACTATTCTAGAACCCAGAGAGATCACAGTGTACAAGAAAGGCACGGAGCCTGTTTTCATGGGGCTTACATTCCAGTGGTGGAGACAGAGAACTCCCCGATAATGCCGTGGATAAAGAAAATAATTTCAATTAATTACCGTGTTGATGTAGAATAGGGTCATGTGATCGTGAGTTCAGCTGAGGGGTAGACAGAAGGTGGTCAGCTCTGATACCTCAGCTGAGACTGGCACGATAAGAAGGAAGTAGACTTGGGAAGAATTTATGAAAGAGATCGTCCACACTGAGTGAATAGCAAGTGCTAGGATTAGGAGACAGAAATGAGCTTCTGGGACTTTGGATCTAGAAGAAGGGGAGGGAGAGGTGAAAGTTCGCTGTGACAAGTGAAAAAGTGCTATGAGGAGCAATGAGCGAGGGTGCACCGGGCAGATGGCACATTCCATTTTGGCTATGGTGAAGAATTTGGGCTCCAATCAAGGTGCCATGGAAGCCACCGAAGAAGAGAAGAGATGGGATTTGATTTCCATTTTAAAAGAGCAGTCTGGTTGCTGCATGGCAAGTGAGGACTGCCGTGGGGAGAATGAATCCAGGAAACCAGACAAGATGCTATTTTAGTAATCCAGGTGAATGATGATGAAGGCAGACCATAACTAAGCTAGGCGCGGTCTAGGCGCTGAGAAAGAGACAGATGCAGGATGTATTCTGGAGGTAAGCCAGCAGAGCTGCAAGAGGAGAAAGGTTGCTTCTAAATAAAGAATGCTTCCGTTTCTATTTTCAGTTCAAAAGCCTTTTGTGTCAAACAATTATAGCAGCTAACAAATTGACTCTATAAATATATCGAATGTACATTTAAGCTAATATTAAATTTCTTTGGGCCTTCAGAGTTTGTATTACAAAAATAGCATGAAATAAAAATCCTTAATAAAGAAAACTGTAAAATACAGAAAAGCAAAATTGTTTAAATAAAAATACATACTATAAAATATGCTGCATACATATCTAAGCCGAGAATTCCTCTTTTTCCCTTCGAATTGAGATTTGATCTCCTATTTGGGGGCGGGGGGCAGGCTGTTGTGCTGTACCATCTTTTGCCTCTTTCTGCGGCATCTTTCAAAAACTGAAAACAATGTAACAACGTTATCACAAATGCTAGGTGTGGACATTTATTTCATCATACATGGGAGGTGACTTCCACCACCGGGGCAATCGGACCTGGGAATGCCGAGAAGTCCCAAGAAGTCCAGAGCTGATGAAGCGCGTGTCCATCTTACCAAGACCTTGACTATAATGCAGAGTCCCTGGTGCAAATCCCTTCCCAACCGTGCTCTGAGACGGAAGGAGGGAAACTGCCGCTATTTACAGCAACCACCATCTGAGCAAGGACTGAGTCACGCAGCACCTCGGGGAAGCTGGGTTGGAAACCCTTGTCAACATGCAGTCCAGTCTAGAGTTAGAGCTGGCCAGTGTGTGCGCCCTGCTCCTGCGGGAGGGTCCCCGGGCGGTTTCGAATTTGTTTTTCGTTTGTCTGCTGTTTGTTGTTGTTGTTTTTTTTTTTAAGCCCTCTCTCTAAAGGCCAAGGATTCCACCGAGGTAAGGCACGGGCGGGAGTGAGTCCTGAGCGGGCGCGCCCGGGGAGCGCGCTGGGAGCTGCAGGGCCGCGGGTGGCCCGCGTGGATCCTGCCCCTGCGCGCCCCGCGCCGACCCGCGGCTGCAGGAAGTCCCCGGCCACCCGCGGGGCTGCAGTGTGGCGCGCACCGGCTCCCGGCGCCGTCCTCCTCCCCGCCGCGCGCTGTCATGCGTCTCTGCGTCCTCGAAGAGGAAGATAATGCCGGCTTCGCGTATAAATAGACGGCTGCATGCTCTCCCTGCGAAGCAGCGATGGAGGCCGCTAAGCTGACTGTTGAGCTAATTTTAACGTACATGTTCGCGCGCACCCTCCCCGCCTCCCTGTCGCGGCTCGGCGGAGCGCGGGCCACGCTGTCCCCCGTGGCCGCCAGAGGGCGGGCACCCGTCCTCCCGCCACCCGGCCCGTCTGGCCCCTCTGTTTACGCGGACGTACAATGCTGGCCTTTATTGGGTTTGAAAAACAGGAGTTTGATTTTTCCTGCACCGGGATGACCTCGACACTCGTGGAAGTCGGAGGAAAGCGGGGAATCGGATGACGGGCAGCCGGGAAAATAAAGCTTGCATTTCACCTCCTCCCACGCCACCACCTACACAGCACTCGGGATGTGCTTCTCATTTTAAAACCACCTTGCTGAAGCCGGGAAGTGCGGGAGGGCGGTAGGAGGGGAATGTTAAATTCTTCTGGGTACTCTGGCACTGGGCGTGCAGCGGCTTCTGTCTAGAAGGTTAAAGTCACCTACTCTCTGCCCACAGAGCCTCTTGTAAGGGCGCTCTCCTGAACTGTCACCAAATGCCAGTGCGCCCACGTTATCGAGGAGTGATTTGACTAACAGATTGTTAATTATTTCTAGGCATGATCCGTCTTGCCGAAGTTTAAGTAATGGTCATCAGCAATTTTATACTACTGGCTTGTGAATTTCAGATCCGCTCATGGCTTCAAATGAGTAAGGTTGGGAATTAAAGTCTGTCATAGTTTTGCCTGCCACCTTTTGGGACCACAGCACATCAGCATAGGGGGAATGGGGTAAAGTAAATGAGAAGGAAAGGGAGACAGAAAACAAAGAAAGACGCCTCCCCGGACATTCCCCAGCCCTAGAAAGCCTGTGAACAAACTTTCCTCTGGGATTGAGTGAAACACATTGATAGGAGCCCATGTTTCTCAAGCACTTGCTATGTGCCAAGCATTGTACTAACCATTTCATATGTGTTACTTCATTAAATCCTCAACACAAACTATCGATTAGATCTTATTATTATCCACGTTTTAGAGTTGAAAAAAAAACTGAGGCAAGTTAGTTGCATAAAGTTGACTAGCTAGAAAGAGACAGAGCCAAGATTCAAACCTCAGTGGAGGCTGACCCAGAACCTTGCTCCACATCACCATGCCAAGTGTCGACAACATGCCCACCCTTGGTGAAATCTTAAACTCCCTGCATCTCTAAGCAAAGGAGGGTGCATGTGAAGAGAGCCGGCCACTTTCAAATAAGGCCTACCTAGGCCAAAATGCAAACAAAACCTCTTCATGGGGAGAGCTCTTGGAAAAGTGAAAAACGTAAGAAGAAATGATCGACTGCAGTGTTGCTCCTGATAATAGCTTATAGGATGGAAGTAAAGTAACCAGAAGAAGGAAACTTTTATTAAGGGCCCTCACCTGTCTACTCATTCAACAAACATTTGCATACAGTGGACTGGCCATTGTGGTGGGTGCAGAAATACCGTGATGAAGAAGACAGAAGTGCTCTATCCCCTCATGGAACCTCGAGGTAGAAAGGGGTTATGACTAAGTGAACAATCAAACACATAATTACAATTTGGGATGATCAGAAAGGGGCCTGGTACACTTGGGAGGAGGGAGTCAAGAAGGCCTGTCTGAGGAAATGCCATTTACACGGAGAAATACAGCATGAGTAAGGGTTAGCTGGGTCCTCGATGGGCCTGAGCATAATATGGAGAGATATGGGGATGCCTTGAGGAGGAAATGGTGTTGGGGAGTGAGTAGGAGAGGAGGCTGCAGAGCGTTGGGGAGTGAGCAGGAGAGGAGGCTGCAGAGGGTTGGGGAGTGAGCAGGAGAGGAGGCTGCAGAGCGTTGGGGACTGAGCAGGAGAGGAGGCTGCAGAGCGTTGGGGACTGAGCAGGAGAGGAGGCTGCAGAGCGTTGGGGACTGAGCAGGAGAGGAGGCTGCAGAGCGTTGGGGACTGAGCAGGAGAGGAGGCTGCAGAGCGTTGGGGAGTGAGCAGGAGAGGAGGCTGCAGAGCGTTGGGGACTGAGCAGGAGAGGAGGCTGCAGAGTGTTGGGGACTGAGCAGGAGAGGAGGCTGCAGAGCGTTGGGGAGTGAGCAGGAGAGGAGGCTGCAGATCGTTGGGGAGTGAGCAGGAGAGGAGGCTGCAGAGTGTTGGGGACTGAGTAGGAGAGGAGGCTGCAGAGTGTTGGGGAGTGAGCAGGAGAGGAGGCTGCAGAGTGTTGGGGACTGAGTAGGAGAGGAGGCTGCAGAGTGTACGTGAGATCTGATAAACCAGAGTAAAGATTTGTGACAGCATCTTAAGCACAATGGGAATACCCCCTTAAGAGATTCAAGAATAAGAATAAAGTGATTCAATTTGTGTTTTAGAATGCTGCTTTGTTTGCGGTGCGGAGAATGGATAGGAGGTGGGACGAGGGAGTGAACGTGGAGAGACTTCAGGAAGTTTGCACACTACTAGCTCAGTGAGGGTTGATGGGGATTTGGACAAGGTCTGCCGTAATGGAAATTGAGAGAAGTGGATAAGCTGTTTGCAGTTGGGTGATGGATTGGACAGGGTGGCTGATGGGTAGAGAGAGGTCCAGGATCCCTCCCAGTTTCTGGCTTGAGGCATTGGATTGAATGAGGCATCATTTACTAATCCAGATGACATGAAAAGAGGAGCAAGCTAGGGGACCCTTGGTTTGGGCCTTTCCTATTTGAAGAATGAATGCTGCTGACTATTCAGAAAGAAAAGAGACTTCAAGGCTGGGCGCGGTGGCTCATACCTGTAATCCCAGCACTTTGGGAGGCCAAGACAAATGGATCACGAGGTCAGGAGTTCGAGACCAGCCTGACCAACATGGTGAAACCTCGTCTCTACTAAAAATACAAAAATTAGCTGGGCGTGGTGATACACGCCTGTAATCCCAGCTACTCAGGAGGCTGAGGCAGGAGAATTGCCTGAACCTGGGAGGCAGAAGTTGCAGTGAGCCAAGATCGTGCCACTGCACTCCAGCCTTGGCAACAGAGTGAGACTTCGTCTCAAAAAAAGAAAGAAAAGAGACTTCAAAAGTAAGCTTGAGTGAATTACTGATATGGACAAGAGACGGGAAGAGGGCGGTTCCCCAGCAAAGTTTCCCCCACCCTCAAGCCTGGAACCTGAGGCCCTAAATGAGGACAGGCATTCTTGGTTTTGCTCCCAAAAAGTTGCCTTTTGGCCACTGCTTCCCCTATCCTGTACCCATATAAACCCCAAACCCCAGGCTCCAGAGGCAGATGAGGAGACGAGGAGACAAGCAAATGGCGGAACGTCACAGCAGAGGAAGAGAGAAGAGAAGGAGCATCTGAACACAGGAGTTTGGCTGGAGACAGTCAGAGAAGAGTTGGCCACTGGATGGCCAAACTCCAGGAAAAGATCATCTTAGCATTCGCTCCCCTCTTACAGCTCCCCATCTATCCTGCTGAGAGCCACCTCCAGCACTCAATAAAACCCCTGCATTCATCTTGGAAGTCCACGTGTGACCCAATTCTTTTGGGATGTTGAGTACCAAGGGGCCAGTGAGCTGGTTAACACTTAAGCCCTCTGTGAATGGCAGAGCTAAAAAAAGAGCACTGTAACACTGGGGTCACAGCAACCTACCCCTAGATGCTGCTGTGGGGCCAGAGCCCCGATACCTGCACCTGCCTGTCTGCATGCTCCCCTCCTGTAAGGGGTTTGAGCTCATGGCGGTCAAACAGAGAGCCGCACTCTTCGTCACATACCCTGCAAGTGGGGGCCCGAACACTCTCCCATCTGATTATTATTGAAGTGACTTTTTTGTCATCATTGTTATAGTTGCTCCACTGTCAGAAGGTAAGTTTTAGTCTTGCTGTGTGTGAACGGGAAGAAGAAAACAATGAAGCTGTGGTATATACTTGGTTTTTGATATGGTTTGGATCTGTGCCCTCACCCCGATCTCATGTTCAATTGTAATCCCCAGTATTGGAGATGGGGCCTGGTAGAGGTGATGGGATCATGGGGACAGAGTTCTCATGAATTGTTTAGCACCAGCCCCCCGTGCTGTTCTCTTGATCCTGAGTGAGTGAGTTACTGTGAGATCTGGTTGTTTAAACATGTGTAGCACTGGGCCGGGCACAGTAGCTAATGCCTGTAATCCCAGCACTTTGGGAGGCTGAGGCGGGTAGATCATGAGGTCAAGAGATCAAAAGCATCCTGGCCAACATGGTGAAACCCCATCTCTCTACTAAAAATACAAAAATTGGCTGAACGTGGTGGCTTGCGCCTGTAGTCCCAGCTACTTGGGAGGCTGAGGCAGGAGACTCACTTGAAGTTGCAGTGAGCCCAGATCGTGCCACTAAGCTCCAGCCTGGTGACAGAACAAGACTGTCTAATAAAAAAATTGTAGCACCTCCTCCCATCACACGGTCCTGCTCCTACCACGTAAGATGCCTGCTCTGGCTTTGCTCCCTACCAAGAGTAAAAGCTTCCTGATGCCTCCTTAAAAGCAGCCACAGCCCTCTGCTTCCTATACAGCCTGTGGCACTGTGAACCAATTAAACCTCCTTTCCTTATATTATCGCGTTTCAGGTATTTCTCTATAGTAGTGCGAGAAAGGACTAATATACTTTTATTACAAAACCTGGAGTCTGTGGCCGCCAACTAAAAACCAACAAGCAGCAACTCTTTATCTGAGTATCACTTGCAGGACCAGTAAGCAGCACTGGGGTTTATAGTCCCACATATGAGGAGAATCGCAGAGTTAGAACTGGAAAGGATCTCATTACACTCATTAGGAAACCAGAGACTCAGAGATGAAGTGATTTGTCCAAGGTCACACAGCAAGTTTGTAAGTGAACAAAGGTGGGGGTCAGTGAACAGGTCTCTGGTTCTTCCTTATGCCTCCCTGCCTCTCGAGGGTTAAGACTTTCTGTTAGACACATATGCCTTATTCATAAGGAGAGGATGCTGGGCTATTATTAACCTGGGATACACTTCCATTCAAACTCTGAGAAATGCAAGCGTCTTGACAATACATTCTCCCTACCATTCTGCAATTCTCCAGGACAAGAACCCCG